TCAAATTTGGTTAGACATATTGTTGTTGTTGTGTGTCATCAAGCCGGTTCTGACCCATAGCCACGCTTTATGGGGTTTCCGAGATGTGGCTGGTGAGCTTGAACCACTGACCTTGCAGTTCAAACTGACTTTGCAGTCCAGTGTATTAACCCATAGCACCACACCATATTAAAATGAAAATTAAATTGAATATGTGAAAAAACATTTTAAAAAAACAACAACAGTTTATAAAATGTTGTTATTGTTGTTAAGTACAGTAGAGTTTGTTTCAATCTATGGCAGCCCTCTATAGGGTTTCTGAGGAGGTGAGTTTGAACTGCTGATCATGCAGCTCAAACTGACCTTGTAATTCAGCACATTATACCACAGTGCCACACCAGGGCCCCTGTTTGTAAAGTTATATATATATATATATATATATGGAGCTCTGGTAGCGTAGTGGTTACGAATCGGGCTGTGAACCTCAGGGATAGCAGTTCGAAACTACCAGCTGTTCCGCGGGAGAAAGATGAGGCTTTCTGCTCCCGTAAAGATTTACAGCCTCAGAAACCCTGTACAGGGTCGCTATGAGTCGGAACCAACTCCACGGCACTTAACAACAACAACAACAACTATATATCTATATATAGGTATAGATATATACACATATACATACATATACATGCATATAATATATACATATACATATATACATACATATACATGAACAAAATGTTTAAGTGCTGTTCAGTAAGTTTTGACTCAGTGACCCTGTGTAGGTTTCCCAGTAGCAGTTGGTGAGTTTGAACTGCCAACCTTGTGGCTCAAGCCTACTCTGTGGTCGAGTGCTTATCCTATAGTATCAAACCAGAACTCCATATGAACAAATACATTTTATATGAACAAATACATCTTTATGTTTATGCCACCACTTTTCAGTCAATTTGTCATACTGTGATGTATCACTTGTGGCTGTGAAGCTACAAGCTATGTCACCAATATTTCAAATACCAGCAGAGTTACCCATGGTGAACAAATTTCAGTAGAGCCTCCAGATTAACAAAGCGTTGGGAAGAGTTTCAACCAATCTACTTCTGAAAAACTTGGCAAGTGAAAACTTCATGAATAGCATTGGAATGTTGTCTGATAAACAAATCTGTCTTAGAAGGAACAACCAGAATGGCCCCTATAAGCTAGGATGGCACAATTTTACTCATGGTCTCTGGATATGTTTTCAGGAAGGATCAGTTCCTGAATAAGAATATATGCTTGGTAAAGTAGAGTGGTGGTGGTGGTTGTATGCTGTTGATTCGGTTCTGACTCATAGTGATCCTGTATAGGTTTTCATAGACTATAAATCTTCACTGGAACAGAAAGCCTCATCTTTACCTTGTGGATCAACTGTTAGATTCGAAAATCTGACCTTGCAATCAGAAGCCCAGTTTATAATCCACTATGCTACCAGGACTCCTTTGGTAAAATAGAGAGTTAGTAAAAACGAGGGAGACTCCCCAGTGAGATGAATTAACACTGTGGCAACAACAATTAACTCAAACATAACAATTGTGAGGATGGTGCAGAACTAGGCATTGTTTGATTTTGTTGTGCATAGGATATATATATGGAACTCTGGTAGTGTAGTGGATATGAATCGGGCTGCGAACCACAGGGTCAGCAGTTCAAAACCACCAGCTATTCCACAGTAGAAAGATGAGGCATTCTGCTCCCTTAAAGATTTGCAGCCTCGGAAACCCTGTGCAGGGTCACTATGAGTCGGAACTGACTCCACGGTACTTAGCAACAACAACAATAGGGTATATATGAGTCAGAACAAACTTGATGGTACCTAACAATAACAGAAAACCAAAGGTTTTCAAACCAAAATGCTCAGCATTTCTCAACTGAAAGAACAGAAGATAAAATTTAAGTCTCAAGTTGCAATATTGATAGATTCTATCTGGTAGCGTAGTGGTTACGAATCGGGCGGCGAGCCGCAAGGTCAGCAGTTCGAAACTACCAGCGGTTCCGTGGGAGAAAGATAAGGCGGTCTGCTCCCGTAAAGATTTACAGCCTCGGAAACCCTGTGTAGGGTCGCTATGAGTCGGAACCGACTCCACGGCACATAACAACAACAACAACAACAATGGGCAAAATAGAGAACAATGCAGGAAACATCAAATACACAGGAATACACAGAGTCACCGCACTTAAAAGAATTTGTTATCCTTCAGCTATTTCAGAAGATCAGGAAAAAATGGCATTGAAGGAAAAAAAGCTGAGCTCCACTGAAAACACTGGTGAAAAACAAAGGTCCAGGAATTATTAGAATACCAACTGAGATATTTCGTCAAATGGATGTATCACTGGAAGTTTTCACTAAGGTATGTAAAAAAATTTTTAGAAGACAACAATCTGTGCAACTGACTGGAAGAGATCCATATATACCCATTCTGAAGAAAGATGACCTAATAGAATATGGAAATTATCAAACAATATTATTAGTATGACATGCCAATAAAATTTTATGGAAGATCATTTTAAAATGTTTACAAAGTATACCAACAGGGAACTGTCAACTATCAAGGTGATTCAGAAGACATGAAAGGACAGATATCATTGCTGATATCTGGCTAAAAGCACAGACTACCAGGAAGATACTTACCTGTGTTATATTACTATGCAAAGGCATTCGACTTTGTGAATGTTATGGATAACATTGCAAAAAAGGAGAATTCCAGAACATCTAATTGTGCTCATGTGGAATCTGCACATATATAAAAAATATTAGATTTTATAAAAAATTGCTACACTAGTTTTTGCTAAAAATAATTTTAAAAAATATTCCAAAATCAAAGATAGATGATTCTTCCCATTTTTAAAATATAGAACATCCACCAAAGCACTCAAGTGATTATAAAACAGAATAATCTTTAATAGTCAGCATTTCCAATTGAATGATAAATTGTTTGTTAAAAAACAGGGTAAGTTTGTATTAAATGAAAACAGATTTGAGAAAAGAGTGCTCATTAAGATTTTCTGTTGTTCAGTGCAGTCGAGTCAGTTATGATTCATAGCAACCCTACACACAACAGAACGAAACGCTGTCCAGTTCTGCACCATCTTCACAATTGTTGTTACACTTTAGCCCATTGCTGCTGCCACTGTGCCATTCCATCTACTTGGAGGTCTTCCTCTGTTTTGCAGACCCTCCACTTTAATATGAGTCCTGGTGTGGTGCTGAAGGTTAATGCGCTGGACTGCCACGTTGGTCTGAATCTCGTGATTCAAGCTCACTAGCCACTCCTTGGAAACCCTACACAGGGTCAATATGGGTCGATGGCACTTGACAACAACAACAACCACTTTAGTGAGCATGATATCCTTCTTCAGGGATTGGTCCTGCCTGATAACTTATCTGAAATATGATTGACGAAATCTCGACATCCTGGCCTCTAGGGAACGGTCTTGCTGTACTTATTTCAACACAGGTACATTTGTTCTTCTGAAAGCCCATAGTACTTTTAATGTTCATCCACAACACCATAATTCAAATGCATCAGTTATTCTATGTTCTTCATTATTCATTATTCAACTTTAATATGCATATGAGAAGATTAGAAGCACCATGGCTTGAGTCAGGCACATCTTAGTCCTCAAACTGATATCTTTGCTCTTGATATCTTTAAAGAGGTCTTGCAGAACAGATTTTCCTAATGCACTACATTGTCTGACTACTGACTGCTGCTTCCATGAGTGCTGAAAGTGGATCTAATATGAAGTCTTTGACAACTTCAATCTTTTCTCTGTTTATCATGGTGTTATTTACTTGTCCAGTTGTGAGGAAACACTGCCTAGTCCTGTGCCAACCTCAAAATTGTTTCTATGCTGAACCCATTGCTGCTACCACTGTGCCAATACATCTCACTGGGGGTCTTCCTCTCTTTTGCTGACCCTCCATTTTGCCAAGCATGATGTCCTTCTCCAGGGACTTGAAACTTCTGATAATATGTCTGAATATAAGAGATGACATCTGCCCATCCTGGCTTCTAAGGAGCATTCTGACTATACTTTCTCTAACACAGATTTGTTTGTTCTTTTGGCAACCATGATATTTTTCATATTGTCCTCTAACACCATAACTCAAATGTATCAATTCTTCTATGATTTCCCTTATTCACTGTCCAATATTCACATATATATGAGGTTACTAAAAATACCATGGCTAGGGTCAGGCATATATTGGTCTTCAAACTGACAGCTTTGTTCTTGAATACTTTAAACTGGTCTTTTGCACCAGAATTGCTGAATATAATACACCGTTTGATTTTTTTAACTACTGCTTCCATGAATGTTGATGGTTGATCTGGGCAAAATGAAATCTTTTCTTCATTTATCTTCATGTCATTTATTGGTCCCATGGTGAGTTTTGTTTTCTTTACATTAAGGTGCAACCCAACTGGAGGCTGTGTTCTTTGATCTTTATCACATTTATCATACAATTTAGCATGCAATTAAAAGCCTTTGTGTAGTCAATAAAGCGCAAGTAAACATCTTTCTGGTATCCTCTTCTTTCAGCCAAGATACATCTGATGTCAGCAATGATATCCCTAGTTCCATGTCCTTGTCTGAATCTGGCAGTTCCCTGTCAATGTATTGTTGTATCTGTTTCTGAATTAATTTTAGCAAAAGTTTACTTGCATATGATATCAAGGATGTTGTCTATTGATATATATTATAACAGCTAAGCATAATCCAGTTGATTATAGTCTAGTAAAACCTCTGTATTAAATTATAGAGTATTGACAGAAATCTACTCTGATTTGAAAATAATAAATAAATTTGGGCTTTCCTTTATTAATGCAAAGGCACTGAGCCAGCTTTTTTATGTCCTGTCATATTCCTATACATATTTTGAAAAGAATAAAATATACCTTTATTGCAAACATCGAAGTTTATTTTTTATTTCAACTTGAAGTTAAACATAAACAGAAAATATGATGAAATATATCAATAATACGTACCATGGCTTTGTCCAATATCATTTGTATTTTTAGACTTCTTTTCAACAGTATGTCACTTGAATTTTCCTATGAAACAAAGGAGATGAATTTAATAAAACATTATCAATTTTTTACAGTTTTTATTTGTCATGTGCATTATAGACACAGAGGCATGTAAATATAGAATAGGTATAAAAATAATCCACTACATTCAAATCAATTGTGACTCATAGCAACTCTATAGGACCATGTAACCAGCTTCTGAAACTATAAATAGGGTTTTGGAGACTGTAAATATTTATGGGGGCAGATAGTCTCAACTTTCTCATGCAGAGTGGCTGCTTATAGGGTTTGAACCACTAAGCTTGGGTTTAGCATTCTGATACTCAACCCACTACACCAGCAGGGCTCTTGAAATACAGATATATACACAGGCATACAGATATAATACAGGTAGAAATCATAGGTGATTCAAATGGTTAACATGTTTTGTTATTATCAGAAATACTGGATGTACAGTCCATCCATAGCGACCTGGAAGGCAAGACCTTTCAATCCAAGTCAGAAAAATCCACTTTTGGTTAGTATCCAAGAGTTTAACTGCTGTGCCACCAGGGTTCCTTAACTAATGTATGAACCTTTATAACCATTTCCACAATTAAGATAAAGAATATTTCCATCACCCTCATCCATGTTATTACCCTTCATCACTCAAGGCAACTGATGATCTTCTTTCCTTCACTAAAGATTAGATTTGGCAGTATAGTGGTTATGAGTTGGGCTGCTAACTGCAAGGTCAGCAGTTGAAAACTACCAGCAGTTCCATGGGAGAGAGATGGCACTTTCTGCTCCCATAAAGATTTATAGCCTTGGGAGGAAAACAAAAAAGATGATGGATAGAGTAGAAGTACATTGAGGAGATCCATCAGCAACAATACAGAATACTGGACCAAGCAGGTTCAGAGGATGGTCCCAGAACTCTGAACCACATATAAAGGAATACTTAGAAAGTTGGAAGGCTTATAGCCAGCAGAATTTGTAGCAGAAGCAAGAAATCAAGTACTTTCTAATCCATGGCATTCAGCTGCTCCCTGAGCAGCTATATTGGGTGCAACAGAACAGGAAAAGGATCAGAGCAGCAATGTACACATGACAGAACCATGGAGATAAAGGTGAGGACATTCTTTTTTTTTTTTTTTTTTTTTTTTTTAATCTGTTCATTGGTCTCTTGCTGTCTGTGCACCTCCATTCTGGTGACTAGAGGAGGTGCCTGAGTGAGTAGACACCACACCACACCCTGGAGGGTTCTATTATGCATGCACACAAATCACTTCAAAATTTAAAGGGACAGTTTCCACTTAAAACCAAACAGCAGCACAAAATGGCAACAGTTGGCCCTGAACTGTTTATCACTAGGAAAAAGGCCTGAACTGGGGTTGTGGAGCAGGACAGGCAGACTGAAAAAGAAACAGGCCTAAAATAAATCCTGAGTTAGGTCATAATGACCAACTGGCATCTTGAAATTTCTCAGGAAGAAGAGTGAAAACAGAAGTCCATCTCATGATCACATCTACCTGGGGGAATCAGAAAGCATAAGAAATACAAAAACACACACCCATCTAAGTATTAAAGCCACAGCAAACTACTGAATATGCCCAAAAAACAAAAACAGATAATCATATCAGCACATGTACAGAAACAACATAAAGTGAATGAAACAAAAGAGCTGAAGGTAGACCTACACTCCATATTGGAAGGAGGGCAGGCTTTGGAAATGCCTGTGAAAGAATTCAGAGAAATTATTATAAAATGTATCAAAACACTTTACAATGGAGTTGAAAAAAATAAGGAAGAAGTCAGGAAAGTACTACAAGAACAATCAAATAAGATAGATACAGCATTAGAAACTATTCAAACACTACATAAAGAAGTCCAAACAATTAATAATAAAATATCAGAAATGGACAGACAATACACTAAAAGGGCAAAGGAGTAGAATTGAAGAGATGGACACCAGAACTAGTGAGTTGGAAAATAAATCTCTCAACACTATTAAGATAGAAGCGCAAGCACAAAAAAGGATTTAAAAAATATGAAGAAGTCTAAGATTCATGTTGGAAAACATGAAGAGGAATAACTTAAGAATTATAGGCATTCTGAAACAGGAAGAATCACGTAAGCTCACAAAGGACATAGTTGAAGACCTTCAGGTAGAAAATTTCCATAACATCCTGAATATCAAAAAGCTAAGCATTCAAGAATCTCAACGAATGCCAAGAAGGAAAGACCCTAAAAGAAAATCACCAAGACATACAGTAATCAAGTTCTCCAAAATCAAAGATAAGGAGAGAATCCTGAAAGCAGCTAGGGAAAAGAGAAGTGTAACATATAAAGGCAAGCAAATCGGATTAAGCTCGGCTTTCTCAACAAAAACCATGCAGGCAAGAAGGCAATAGGGAGATAAATATAAAATCCTGAAAGAAAAAAAACTGCCAAACAAGAATCCTCTACCTCGCAAAGCTGTCAATCAAATACGATGGTGTAATCAAAACATTCCATCATAAACAGAAGCTAAGGGATTTTTCCAAAGCCAACCCTGTACTACAAAACATTCTAAAGGAAGTTCTGAGGTCTGAGAACCAACAAGAACAGACAACAATCAGAGATTGACATACTTGGGAGCATCACCCAGATCTCAGTTGACAAATGAAAGAGTTGAGAACAGAACAAAACTATAAGAACAAATTCAGAGGAGCTGGAAGGTCAGTCTATGATCAAAACAATTACAATGTGAAAGAAGGCAGACACAGAGTAACAGATCCAGGTGGTGAGAAGGTCAGGTAGATTACAGGATAACATAGACTGTCTTAAATGGAGGGAAAAGTTAATGGAATGTAAGGTTACCACAATGGTGGGATTGGGGTGGGGGGTTTACGGGAGGTAGAGGGAGGTGATCATAGAGCACAGAGTAAGGGCAGACACATCATAATTTGGGTGTTGGGGAATGCAATACAAGAAGGTGGAGGAGGTGGATGAACAAGGTAGATAGGGAAACACTGAGACAGGTTTGCATGAGCTAAGTGGGACAGAGGTAAATAGCAATGCATGCTCAACCTTGGAAAAACAGGGTTCTGTGATACAGGAATCTATGCATAATTTGAAGAGAGGAACTAATACTAAGATGTTTGAACATTGGTCTTATGAATATTGGTTTACCTTTCCTACTATCATAAAATATAAAGGAGTAGGATAGGAAGGAATGTGGGGAAACATAATTACAGAAAACTTGTAAGTCCATCTTCAGCCTATAGCTGATTGGAACACATAAAAGGGGTTCTAGAACTTGACCAGTGAAATAGGCCTCTTGCAGAGCCTTTGCAGACTACAGGACCTCAAGTGGAATCCTAAGTCTCATCCAGAACCTTCTGAGGTGGGACATCCCCACTAGAAAGGACAAGCAGACCAGCCTGGAACAGCTACAGTGACAGAACATACATCGTTAAAGAAAGATCATCAGGAAAAAAACAAAACAAAAATGTCAGTATGGCTGACTACTATAAGAATAAGCAAGCTGTTCCCTGTGAAGTCATTAAGGAAAGCAATTAAGTTCCTTCAAGACAAACCCCAGTCTAAGACTGAAACTCAAATGGAACACATGAGCAGGCATGTAAGCTTGCTAGCGACCACATTAGTCTACTGGTGAGAGGAAGACTGGGAAAGGCAGCAATGAAGAAATGGGCTGAGATCAACAATGGTCCATTAACTCCCGTTGACCTGGAGATGAGAAAGAGAAGAGGAAGGGCTGGTTGGTCTAAAGTGTAGTGAGACCTGCGGACACCTAAGCCCATGGACAAGGACATAGCCACAGAGGGCTAGGCTAGAGCTGAGAGTGAAGCAAGCAGCTGATATGAATTGAGGGGAGATGCACAAGAACCCCTTAACTTGAAGATTGCACCCATTTGACCTAGCCTCAATGGCTTGATAATCAGAACTCGAATAGACTCAGTTCTGACTCATAGCGACCCTGTACAGGGTTTCCGAGGCTGTAAATGTTTACAGGAGCAGAAAGCCTCATCTTTCTCCCATGGAACAAATGGGAGTTTCAAACTGCTGTCGCTGAGGTTAGCATCCCGATTTGTAACCACATGGAGGGGATTATAATCATTGTAATGAAACAATGTGTATGATTTGTTTAATGTAAAATTGATGATCTGCCCTATAATCTTTTATTCCATCCACAATAAAAACCTTAAATTAAGGGGGGGGAAAAAAGGGAGGAAATGGGATGTTATGTTACATTGAGGAGATTGTGATCAGTAAAATGAAATAAAATATATATATTAATTGTTTAAAGTAAAAAACTAATGATCTATCTGCTCTGTAAACCTGCACTCAATTCACAATAAAAATTTGAAATGACAAAAAAAAATAAAAAAGATTTATAGCTTCGCAAACTTAATTCAGGGTTGATATGAGTCAGAACTGACTCCACAGCACACCACCGCCATTCTACAATTAAATATAAATAGAATCATATGGTATGTATTATTTTACATCTGTCTTCTTTTACTCATCATCTCTCCTTATGTGGTTATTAATAGTGCATTATTTTTCATTGCTAACTTATGTGCCATTGTAAAGATACATCACCATTGATTGTCATCAGGTTTATTTATATATCTTAGCTAGTATAAGTAAATCTGCTATGAATATATACACATATATGTTGTTGTTAGGTTCCAATCCATAGCAACCCTACGGAGTGGCTGGTCTGTTTCAACCATCGACCTTGTGATTCAAACTGACCATGTAGTCCAGCACATTATCTCATAGAGAAACAC